TGTCTAGTTGGCTCTTAATCCGGCGGGTTCAAGGCAGGGCGGGGTGGGGCTGGTTTTGGAGCCTAGATTTTTCTAGTAGGGTGGTTTCTGAGGTTTGCAGAACTTGTCTCGTTGTCATCCCTAATTTTGGTTGACCAAGGCACAAGTCAATAAATAAACAGGAAGATTGGTGAGTTTTCGGGTCGAACATAGTGATTTTAAATCGCAAAATTTAAATCAAGAATTTAATACAAGTGATGCGCAACAACAAAAACAGGAAGATTGGCTCGCTCGTAAGTGAGCTGATGAGTTAACTAATACAAAATTTAAAGAAAGACGAGTAAAGATGAGCGGTTGGTGAGGCGTTTGGTAGAGGCAGTGGGCGAGCGATGGATGCAACGGGAGCAGTGGTGAGGGGAGGCGAGCGGATAAAGGGGAGCGGATTATATATGTATACGTGAATGATAGTAGGCGAGCGGTGAGGAGGGTCAGATAATGTTGTGTCTGCGTTGTATGTTACTAGATAGATAGGTTCTCATGGATATAATGAGCAAATGAGGAAGGTGAGTAAGTGAAACGTATATTTATAACACGTAATGACAGAAGAAGTTAATGTAATTGCGTAAAAACTATTAACACAAAAAACAACTTCGTTGGTACTTGACCTTAAGGGATTTACAAAAAGACTTAAATGACGCCAGAAACAGAATCTTATAAGTAAGAAATTCTACTGTCATTATAAATTTCTGTGGCCCTATAGATCCACGCCTATGCCCCATTAATTATCCTAATCTCTGTCTCATTAGTGGCTTTACCATTTTGTTACATCTCTTTAATCAAATAGTCGAATTCAGAACATTAACTAAGCAGGTCGACAAGGCTCCCGCGTACTTAACTACATTGAACTACCTAGAATCTGTTAATGAATACAACGTGAAACTAAGCTAGGATAGTCGAGTTTTCTATGTTCTTCAACAACGAAACAAAATTCTAATCCTAACAACTTAATGAAAATATAAAGCATGGATGAAAGTGAAAATAAAGAAATCTTGATATTTCATTAATTACTAAAGAAAACAGTAATGGTCTACATTACAAATGCAGTAAATCAAAGCAAGAAAACAGAGCAGTAAAATAGCTTAAAAAATAGTAAGTGAGCGGCCAGAGGAGAAGAAGATCTCGACTCCTCTGGCCATTCCTGACTAGAGAACTCTCTTACAGGATTGGAGCTCTCAGAAAGCACTAAAAAACTGCAGAAAATGATCATTTGAATATGTGTATCAGTGTTTTACAAAATAAATCCGGCCTTATTTATAGATCTAAGGGAATTGGAATTTGCAAAGCAGTTGAGAGGTAGTTGAAACGGCTTGGGCAGTTAGGCGGTTGAAGGTGATTAATCTGTTGAAATAGTTGCACCGGCCATAACTCCCTGGGTGCCGCTTCGCTCGCTTCAAAGTGTAAGAGTGCAGACCTTCTTCGCTTGCCTGGATAGCTGGAGAGGGCATCAGCGCAACTCAAGCGATGTTGTCGTCACTAGCTGGTATAATGGTTGGACCGTTGAGAGATGACCATTTGATGAATTTCTGGGGTGGCTCACTCTCACTTCGCTGCGGTCGATGTCTGGTCGATGGCGCTGGCGTAAGTGGAAAGAGCATCGCTTTCCAAGCCAAGGCGCTATCACTTGACTTTCAAAAATTAGCTTTTCTGGACCAGAAACATCGCTTAAAAAGGCCAAAAACGTTAATAATCTCAACAGATGAGCTTCGGATCATGCCAAGTGAAGCAAATCAATAAAGTATGCCATAAATCAGATATTATGATGATTTTCACATAAAAATTCAAGTAGTACACAGTTTTGTCAAGCAAAAAAATATGCTATCATTTGGAGTTATCAAGTGGTCTTTCCCATATTCAAATAGGAGAAATAAATTTTATTTTTCAAAATGCTATGAGTTGCAACACTGTCGATAAGACAGATATTATCATCGGCTCCAAAATATTTGGCATCCATATATTTGCATGAAGGTAGAAATAATAAAAGACATGTATTAGTAATATAACCAAAATAGATTTTTATTATAGGGGTATTACAAAAAGAGTGACAAAAAGCATCAAAATAATAAAAAGAGATACAACAACGTTTCATCATTTAACATCATTAGCTATGTCAAGAAAATCATTGGCATCCAGTGTAATGTCCCAATTTCGGAGTGTATAATATAATATTGCACATCATCAAATGTGTCATCGTGGGCAGCGTGATTTATTTCGGAGGCAATTCTTTCTTGCCTTTCTTTTGAAGCCCGATACAGTTAAGCCAAATGACTAGTTGTGCGACAAACAATGGCCCAGTGACCTTTGATTCCATACTGGGTGTATTTCTCGTTATTGTTTCTGTTTCTCCCCGTGTTGAACCTCTGTTGAGGTCTGTACAGCCTTCTATAATTATAACACCGATTTGGTACATATCGGTGCCTATTTTGATAATTATTGTGATTGTATGCGTTTGTTCGGCCCTGTCCGTGATTTTGATTTCGATCGCGATCAATTCGTTGATTTCTTACCTCCCAACGACCACGCATCTGATTTTCCGGTTGTATTGCATTTGCCTCTGGAAATAGATTTGCACATGTCCGCCGAGATTTATGATTTTTCAACAACAATTCATTATTTTGTTCGGCCTGGAAAAGACAGGTTATCAGCTCAGAATATTTCTGGAAGCCTCTCTCGCGATACTTTTGTTGCAAAATCATGTTAGAGGCATGAAAAGTAGAGAAAGTTTTCTCCATCATAACGGATTCAGATATATTTTTGTCACATTGACGCAGTTGTGATGTTATTTTAAACATGACATAATTATATTTTTGGACTGTTTTGAAGTCCTAAAGCCGTAGGGTTTACCATTCGCTTCATGCCCTAGGCAACATAGTCAGCCTCATATGATCTTATCTTTCTTTCAATATCTCTCACAATTCAAGTGGGGATTCCAACGTCATGTATTGCATTTTCAGTGGCTCATCGATGTGATAGTACAAAAAGATCATGACCTTTGCACAATCTTGGCTCGTAGAATTTTTATCTCGGACAATGGTATTTTTTAAACCCATTGATGCTAAATTCATTTTGACGTGGGGAGCCTATACCATATAGTTTTGACCATAAAGAGGGAGAAATTCTTGTTTAGCAATGTTAGACATAATAAACAGATAAAATATTACCTTGCGAGTATTAAAATACACAATTATATTGATAAAATATTGCAATGTTATTATAGAATTAAGCAATAAAAATATTAATTATTTTTATCGCTAACCATTATTATATATTGTATATAATATATATTATATGTATATGGTATATATATATATATGTATAATGTGTGTTGTGTGTGTTAATGATTATATATGTATGTATGTAAGCCTATATAGTATTATATATATGTATATTATGATGAGTTTTTGTATTTACAGCATATGTATGACATGAATATGCATGTAGTAAAGAGAAAGGGTGTAAGAATGAATTATACTTCATCTGTCCAATTTCTATTGTTCTAAAGTATATTTGCACAGTTTTTTAGGTGATTGCCTTTTTGTTATGAATGGACAAATTTGCCCTTAAGGGTATGGTAGAGATTAAAAGTAATAAATGAATGAAGAGTAAAAATGTAAAATTTGTGTTTAAAAAATAAAATAGGACAATAATTGTTGGACGTCCCAAATAAGGAAAGTAGGACATTAGTTTGTGGACGGAGGGAGTATTAAATTACAGCATTCTTTCATTTCATTCGTAGCACATATTTATAGGCAAATATTAATGAATTTTGTGGCTGAAAATTGATCACCGTAAGTGATACGTGATTTTATACAAAACCATCCATATTTATGAGACGATACTGATATGTATATAACATTTTACTTATTTTTTCATGATTATCTAATTAAATTTTAATTTTAAAATTAGATATTTTTCAATCTTTGTGTCTCTTCTTATTTAACCACATCTATCTATCTTTTTATATCACAAGTCAAATTTTCACTCGCCCACCCAACTTGACCAAATCTGCCTTCTCCTCTCTTCTTTTCTCTCACCCCCAATTCTCTGGCTTTTCAAACCTCTAGTCACTACCGTGAAGCATAGCTCGTTTCTACCTTCCATTTTCTTCTCCTTAATCGGTATTTTCGGACTGTTGCCTTCAACCTTTTGTCTAGCTGACGTCTGTGTCTGCCCACCATCTCCGCTGATATTATCTTAAAATATATTTATTATATATTTATAAGGTCTACACTTGAGTTTTTTTGCTCAGGACCCTAAAAATTTCGAGATGATCCGGATTATAACAATAATAAATTTAGCTATTTGTGGCCGTATCATTACAATTCGGCTGCGAATAAAAAAGTTTATGATTTGGCAATTCAGACCATTGTTGCTATAATTGTTATACTTTCAGCGTTAATACCCTGCAACCGAATTGTCGTTGCCATGGTTCGTCACAGGAGCAACAAAATTACGATTTGGTAAGTTACAACGATCGTCGTACTTTTGGTATTAACAAAAATATTTTACAGATGAATGTAATATCGAAAAAAAAAATAATAATAATAAAAAATAAACCTCATCTTGAACAATTTTTATAATTAATCAAAGCTAATGTCCTTAATTAGAATCCTCCCATTTGGATGATAACGTCACTAAGTAAATAAAAAATTGAATTAAAAAATATCATTAATTTAAGATTAATAAATTCCTATGCTTATCATTCCCTATAAGCAATAGAAGTCACAAGAGCGGGTTATTATTACCACCTACGACTAGCTAGTCCTTTTCTGTTTAATTGGCGGATGAATCTAGGCCATTCAAGATATGATATGATGTGGGATCCACACACCAAAAGCTGTACATCGTAGATCAAGATCAAGATCAAGATCAAGATCAGATAGAGATCAATCAGCCCTAGTGGAAGAAATATATTTATATCTATCAATATATATATATGCGACTTTCTGTCTCTATCCTCGATCCCATTGCTCATTGGTTTCCCCATCGTTAATAAGTACAGTATATATTAATAATAAAAGACAAACGTGCACTGTATTCATCAACTTTCATGCTTCCATACGGCTGGTTTTTAGTTAATATCCTCCTTTAAATATATATTCTTCTTCTCCCACTCTGGACTTTCAGCCCATTCCAATGAAGCTGCTCTGCTCATGGCTGTCGTCGACTTGCTCCTCCTCCTCCTCCACCGCCGCCGGCTCTCCGTCGTCAAAATTCCGGCCATCCTCCGACGCTTGCAGCAGCAGCAGCATCTCCTCTCATGCCCGAACCCTACACTCAAATTCAACGTTATCACCCCCCAGTAGCAGCAGCAGCAGCAGCAGCAGCATCCAATCTAACGCTTCTCTCCTCACTCTCCCTTCCGTCCCCTCTCTCCAAAAATCCCCTCTCGCCCCGCTAAACGCCTCCTCCGCCATTTCCGACACCTCAATCAAGCTCGCCGGCCGCGTCAATTTCCTCGCTCTTCATAATAATCTCCTCCTCTACGCAGCCTCGGGGGATCGAGTCTACGTCTACGACATCACGTCTTGTACCCTAGTCGACGCATTCAGCACCGCAAAATTCTCCACCGTCAAGTCCATCGCCTTCATCGACGGGAAGGTGTTCACAGCGCATCAAGATGGTAAAATCCGAGGTTGGAAACGAGACGGCAATTACAAGCACAAGCTCGAGGTCACGCTGCCAACGCTTGAAGATCGTGTGAGAAGATTCATCCTCCCCAGAAATTATATTACTGTCCGGCGGCATAAGAAGAAGCTCTCCATAGAGCACTACGACGCCGTTTCGGGCCTTGCAGTTGCAGCATATCATGAAAAGTACTCATCTGCTGTATTATCGATATCGTGGGACAAAAGCATCAAATTCTGGGAACCCCGGAGTTTCCGATGCCTGGAATCCATTAACAAAGCACACTACGATGCAATAAATGCTGTGGCAGTGTCGGAAGATGGGTTAGTGATTTACACAGCCTCTGCCGATCGGAGGATCAAAGTCTGGAAAAGAGAGGCCGGGAAAACGTACGGCGCCATCGCCACTCTGGAGAAGCATAAATCGGCGGTGAACGCATTGGCGCTGAGCCGGGACGGTTCGGTTTTGTTCTCCGGTTCGTGCGACCGGTCCATTTTGGTGTGGGAGAGAGAAGACAGTGCGCATCACATGGCGGTGACCGGCGCGTTGAGGGGTCATGCAAAGGCAATTCTATGCTTGTGCTTGATCGACGGCCAGGATTGTTTGCTGTTGAGTGGGTCGGCTGATCGGACGGTGAGGATGTGGCAGAGAGGGGTTGATGGACGCAGTTACTGGTGCGTGGCGGTGCTGGATGGCCACCGGACGCCGGTAAGGTCGCTGGCCGCCGGCGGAGGTGGAGGTGGCGTCGTGACAGTTTTTAGTGGAAGCTTCGATGGGGAGATTAAGATATGGCAACTTGAAAACATACATGCATGCATCGATTAATTAATTGATTAAGGATCAATCATTTCAATTTTCATATTATATTATATATTTAGGCTAAATTGCACAAAATTGTTTCACAAAATTGCTCTAAATTTCTTATACTTTTAAAACTGCGTCAAACTTCCTTGTGATTTATAAACTCTGCATCTAACCCTCTCGGCAGTTTTTATTTAACTGTATTTGACCTAAATGCATCTAATATGTGAATAAATTTTAGAATCTCAATTTCTAAATCCCTAAAAAGCTAAATATAAAAATAAATATATTTATAATTTTAGGGATTCAAAAATTAAAATTTTAAAATTTATTCGCAATCTGAGCGTGTGTGTTTGTTTGAGGGATTTTATGGGATTTGTACTATTTCCACAAATTTTCCCTCCAAAAAAATCAAATCAAATATTTATTTTTTATTTTTTATATTATACTAAAAATTAATTTTACATTAAAAACATCACATCAATTCTTATTTATATCACATAATACAACTATTCAAATTCAAATTTTTTAGTATTCAAATCTCAATCCAAAATCCAACCTTCAAACAAACATACTCATTAATATTGCTAAATAAGGACCGCCCAAGGGTTAGAGCCAGAATTTATGAAATTACAAGAGAGTTTCACCCAATTTTAAAAGTACAAAGATTTGACGCAAGAGAGTTTGATGCAATTTTAAAACTACAAAGATTTGACGCAATTTTAAAAGTACGAACAATTGACGCAAGAGAGTTTAACACAATTTTAAAAATATAAAATTTGACGCAATTTCGTAAAATCACATATAAATTTTGTGCAATTTAACAATTTTTTTTTTGAGTTTTTATTCGGTTATGCAATTTTAGTAGACAAGGTGTTACCCGTTAAGAATGAATATTACAATAATTTGGGATAATCATCATAACCGGCGCTTTGCTCTGTATATGATAAAGATTAAAAATTATATTCGGCATATATATATATATATAGATGGGGCGATTAGATCTAGAACGGCCTGCTGCAGATATCGCCACTTGGTCAAACAAATGAATTATTTTTGCTATTATATATATTAATTAAAATATTATTCCCTCCGTCCCAGATAACATGTCCACGTTGTCCCGTCTCACATATCATGTCACTTTCTTTTTTTGGAAAATAATTACACATTTTAATTTCATTTTAAATTTTTAAATTTTATTTTTTAAAATTTTAATTAAATTAATTAGTTATCTTAATCTTAATTTATAATTATTTATATTATAAAATAATTATTTTCATTAATACATTCTTAATTATCTACTAATTACACTCCTTCTAAAATACCGTGTTTACCGATATCTGGGACGGAGGGAGTATATATATATATATATATATATATTTACAAAGTGCACACGACAAACACTTGCGGCAAGCAAAGTGCAGACAAAGTTATGTGTGTATATCGCATAACATCATATGCATGATCATTGATCATGTACAATTACGTTTGTGTGAATAATTAATTACTGGCTCGATAGAAATATGAGTCCAATATGATAGATTCCAATTCCACCTTTCACAATCCAATCATCACTTTTTTTTTTAATTAATAAAGACACGCAATATTAACAGTCGGGGAGGATTGAGATGCTGATTTTTCAACTCTATCACACGTTATGGATAAACAACACATATTATTATTACATAAAGTACATACTGTGTATAACAAAGGTATGTGCTATTTTGTTATAATAAGAAGTATGTTGTATAAAAGTATGTAATGCGCTAAAATTAATTATTGTATGTGCGGTATGAGACTATAACATGTACTATTAGTTCATGTGTTGTATTTGTACTATATATATATATATAATGTGCTGTCTGTAATAGTATTGTCTGGTGTACAGCACACGATATGCTATTGAGACTATGATATGTATTTTTTTTTCATATGATGAATTTGTATTATATTAACATATATTGTGTTCTGTATATAGTAATACAATATGCTATCAAACAATACATCATGTGTTATTCAGTACAATTAAATTCAGCATAAAAGCCGCCATAATAATAATAATAATAATAATAGTAGTAGTAGTGGAGGATGGGACTAGAAACCTCAAGACAAAGCACAACTTTTAATTTAATTTATCATTAATAAATAACTAATTACTAACTGTACAGTAACCCCACTTATTTAGCAAACTGTACGTAGTGTTTTACCTTGGCGGTTAAGCTTAATACTATTTTCGTCCACAAACTAATGTTTTACTTTCCTACGTGGGACGTCCAACAACTATTGTTCTATTTCTTTTTTTTTTAAACACAAATTTTACATTTTTATCGTTAATTCATTTATTACTTTTAATCTCTACCATACACTTGAGGACAAATTTGTCCATTCATAACAAAAAGACAATCACCTAAAAAATCGTACAAATATACTTTAGGACAATAGAAATTGAACGGAAGAAATACTTTAGTAATGCATGCACAAGAATATGCAATTGCTATATACGACCCGTACCACTAACGTACTTTGGTTTCCATTTCTTCCAATAATAATGGATGCTTCATGGCCATTGCTGTAAAGAAATAAAAGGACAAAACCCAAGATATATCGATCAATACATACCCACATATATATATATTATATATATATATATGAGAGTGTTAATTGCAGAAGTGCATGGCTGAATCAGCTGCTTCCTTTTTTTGCAACTTGCCCACTTGAGAATTAATTCAATTTCAATTTCAATAAGGTTACTCCTTTCCCACTCATCCCCGTTCCCTCTCCAACCTATCATATCTTTTCAACATATATATATATATATATATATATCACTTCTACTTCTTTTTTAACTTATTTTTCCACCTTTTTCTATTTCATCAATTGGTGAAATGGTTTTGTGGTCACCTTTTTTATCTCAATGATTTATCATCCTCGCAAATCTAGGGTTTGTTTAGATGGGGATTTTTGGAAATTTGAAAGTTTGGAAAAAGTAAAAAATTAGTACTTTCTTCGTCTCATAAGTAAATATCTATTTGTTTTTTGTACGTAGTTTTAGAAATATTACTATTATATTGGGATATAGTAGGAATAAAGCAGAAATGACTAAAATAACCTTATTAGTATGTGTGATTGTAATGTTAAGTAGATAGTACAGTTACTAAAAAAAGAAAATGGATACTTTGTTATGTGACGGACTAAAATAAAAAAATGAATACTTTGTTATAAGACGGAAGAAGTATTTGATTTGATATTTTGTAAGAGAAAAATATATTTGATGTGATATTTTTTAAAAAATAAATAATACCAAATAAATGAAAGTATGTTGTCTGAGCATAGCCCTAATTTTATCAGTTACAACAATTAAGCATATGTATGTGTTGAATATTCCCATCCACCAACCCAACCCAACCCAACCACATATATATATATATATATATATATATCCCACTTGGTTTCATTTTACTTTGATATAATATATTCAAAATTGTTCTTGAGCATCCTAATTCACAAACTCAAGATTCTCTCATCTCATCATGATCATACGTATACTGAATAAATATGCATATAATTTATATTTATGTCAGCAAGTTGGCAGAAGAAACAAAAAGGGGTTTTGAAATTTGCAATGCAATATTAATATTATTCTTAGACATGCATCAAGTTTTGTTCGTAAAATTTAATGGATAACCTACCACCCTAATTAATATGTATATGGTAGCCAATACTCAAAGTCAATCGTCAGCAATCAGAAACAGTGTCTATAATAATTATACACCCAGAATAGTACATTTTGTAATATTAATATAGAATTAGTCAATATAAATATTAATTATTTTTACTGCTAATTACTATTTTATATATTGTATATATAATATATATATGTAATGGGTATATATATGTATGTATGCAATCGTGCGTGTGAATATATATATATATATATATAAATATATGTATGTGTAAAGTATTATATATATATGTTTGTATAGTTTATGTAATGGTGAGGTTGATATATAAAAATAAATGAGAGAGAAATAGATAGAGAGGGGGAGAGATAAATGAGTGGGGATATGTATATATATTCTTTTTCCATCCGGTACATATTACCTATATATATATATATATATGCAAGTAAACATTGAATTTTGAGGACATAAGCTAGCCACACAATTATCGAATAAGATTACATTACGCGTTCTACTTTAACTGCATCTACATTATTGTGTATAAAACATGTACGTGTATAACACTTCCTCTTGGATACTATTATAAAAGAATGTGTCTCGTTAAAACCTTAATAGGAAAAAATCCAGTGGGACAAAAAATCCTAGTGAAGGAAAAATAGTACAACATTCTTGTATCAATTTGCTCCCCATGATCTGAGCATTATTTGAGATCCCTTAACCGACGCATCCTAATTTTCTTCACCAATTTTTCAAATGTTGCCGTCGGCAATGCCTTGGTTAATATATCCGCCAATTTATTATCGGATCGAATTTGTTTCACATCAATTTCACCATTCTGCTGAAGATTATGAGTGAAATTTTTTTTGGTGAAATGTGTTTCGTTTTATCTCCTTTAATGTAACCCATTTTCAATTGAGCTATACAAGCCGTATTATCTTCATATAATGTAGTTGGGAAAATTTTATCGTCAAGTATTAACCTACAATTTTTCAGAATATGTTGAGTCATTGACCTCAACCAAACAAATTATCGACTAGCTTCGTGTATTGCCAATATTTCAGCATGATTTGAAGAAATGGTAGTTAATGTATGAGTTCCAAAAGATCACAGTTTCGCCACAAGTAAATATATAGTCAGTTTGCGACTTGGCTTTATGAGGATCCGATAAATATCATGCATTGACAAATTCAATCAATTCATGTCGAGAATCAATTCATGTCGAGAATCTTTCGAGTAAAATAACCCGAGATCAATTGTTCCTTGGAGATAGCGAAAAATGTGTTTAATCCCATTCCAATGTCATCGAGTAGGCGATGAGCTCAATCTTACCAATAAGTTTACACCAATTGATATATCAGGTCGGGTGCTGTTAGCAAGATACATCAATGCGCCTATAGCACTCATATATGACACTTCTGGGCCAAGTTTTTCTTCACTTTCCTCTTTTTGGTCTAAATGGATCCTTTATTGGATCGAGTGCCTTGACGATCATTGGGGTACTTAGCGGATGTGACTTATCCATCAGAAATTGTTTTAGTACCCTTTTGGTATAATTTGATTGGTGGATAAAGATTCCATTTTTCAAGTGCTCAATTTGCAAACCAAGGAAAAATTTGATTTTTCCAAAATCTTTGATCTCAAACTCTTTTTTCAGATATTCGATAGCTTTCTGGATTTCATCAGGAGTTCTAACTAAATTGAGATCATCGACATATACAGCAATAATTACGAATCCTGACCCATTTTTCTTTATGAAAACACATGGACAAATAGGGTCATTTATGTAACCTTCTTTTGTTAAGCTTTCGCTGAGACGATTGTACCACATTCGGCCCGATTGCTTGAGCCCATACAAAGATTTTTGTAATTTGATGGAATATGATTCTTTTGGCTTTGATTTGAATGATTCAGGTATGTTAATCCCTTCTGGTATTTTCATGTAGACGTCATTGTCTAAGGAGCCATAAAGATATGCAGTAACTACATCCATTAATCGCATATCAAGATTATTGTGTACTGTCAGGCTCACCAGATACTTGAATGTTATTCCATCCATGACCGGCGAATATGTTTCTTCAAAATCAATACCCGGTCTCTAGGAAAAACCCTGGGCTACATGTCTTGCTTTATATCTTGTGATATCATTATTTTCATTTCTTTTTCTTACAAACACCCATATGTAGTCAACATGTTTCACATTTTCAGGTGTTTGGACTATGGGTCCGAATACTTGTCATTTATTCAATTAGTCCAATTCAGACTTAATTGCGTCTTTCCATTTTGCCCAATCATCTCTTTGCCGACATTCATCAACTGATTTTGGTTCATAATCCTCGTCATCTTTCATTATATCGAGTGCTACAGAATATGCAAATGCATGATCAATATTTGTTTTCTTTCTGTTCCAATATTTTCCATTGGCGGTATAATTAACAGAAGATTCAATAACTTTATCATCACTTTCATCTAAATTTTTAGTATCAACCTCTTCAGGGGTTGTACTGACCTTTTCAAGAATCTGATCATTGTTGATCTTTTCACCAGTATTTACAATTTTCTTCTTTCGTGGATTCTTGTCCTTGGAACCCAACGGCCTGCCACGTTTTACGTGGGCAATATGCTCATTAGCACTCGGCACCTTCCCTTCTGGGATATATATTTTAGCTGGTGTATTTGATGCTGCAATATATGATTTCGTAACTCTGGCAGCATCATTAAAACAATCAGGCAATTGATTTGTAATTTTCTACAAATGCACAATTCTTTAAACTTCAAGTTCACTATGTTTCGTACGATGATCAAATTCAAGTGGTATTTTCCATGAAATTTCTTTTTTTAGTAGATTATTGTCTCCCCCTAATGTCGGGAAATGTGATTCGTCAAAATGATAGTCTGCAAACCTCGCAGTAAATAAATCACCCGTTGTTGGTTCAAGATATTTTGTGATCGAGGGTGATTCATAATCGACATATATACCCAACCTTCTTTGAGGTTCCATTTTCGTGCGTTGAGGTAGCGCAATTGGAACATAAACAACACACCCAAATATTCGCAGACGAGATATATTTGATACTTTTCCAAAAACCAATTGAGTAGGGGAATAACAGTGATAACTTGTCGGCTTTATTTTCACGAGGGCTGCTGCATGCAATATAGCATGTCCCCAACATGATACGGGAAGTTTAGACCTTATTAACAATGGTCTAGCAATTAATTGCAATATTTTGATAAGAGATTCAGCGAGGTCATTTTGCGTATGTACATGGGTAACAAGATATTCCAGAGTAATCCCAATTGACATGCAGTAATAATCAAATGTATGTGACGAATACTCTTCAGCATTATCTAGACGTATTTTCTTTATCGGGTGATCTGGAAATTGTGCTCGCAATTTAATTATTTATGCAAGTAGTCTAGCGAAAGCTAGATTGCGAGTAGATAACAGACATACGTGTGGCCATTGCGTTGACGCCTCAAATAGTACCATAAAGTACTTGAAGGGTCCACACGGTGGATCTATTGGTCCACAAATATCACCTTGAATTCTTTCTAGAAAAGTTGGGGATTCAAATCCAACCTTTGTTGGAGATGGCTTGATTATTAACTTCCCTTGGGAATAGACTGCAAAAAAAAAAAATTCATTCGGACTCAAAATAATTTTTTTTTTCAATGAGTGGTTATTTGAATTTTCAACAATTCGCCTCAGCATTATATTGTTAGGATGCCCAAGTCGATCGTACCAAGTTTTAAATTCGCTAGTAGCAATTTGGTCTACTAAGTGATATGTTTCAACGGCACTGGTTTTTTAGTAATATAAGCCGGAAGAAAATTATGGCAATTTTTCTTTCACAATTTTTTTATCATTCACAATCTGAGTTATCAGGAGATACTCATTTTCTGCCTCATTTAATGTTTCAATATGATACCCATTTTTCCGAATATCACTGAAGCTCAGTAAATTTCTTCGAGCTTTGCTCGAGAACAAGGCATTTTCAATTGCCATTTTTATCCCTTTTGGGAGAAATACAGTAGTTTTTCCTAAGCCTTCAATCATTTTCGATGCACCACTGATAGTAACAATAATGGTCTTTCCCATATTGAGGTGGGAGAAATAACATTTATTTTTCAAAATGTTCTGAGTCGTAGCACTCTCGATAAGGCATATATTGTTATCGGCTCCAAAATATTTGGCATCCATATATTTGCAAGAAGGTAAAATAATAAAAGACATGTAGTAGTAACATAATCAAAATAGACTTATATTATAAGGGGTAATACAAAAAAAGGGGCAAAAAACATCAAAATAACAAAAGAGATACAACAATATTTTATTATTTAACATCATCAGCTATGTCAAGCAGATCATCGGTATCCAAGTGCGTGATATTTTTATTCATCACATCGTCAAATGTGTCATCGTGGGCAGCGTGGTTTGTTTCGGCAGCAACTCTTCCCTGCCTTCCTTTTGAGGCCCGATACAGTTCAGCCAAGTGACTGGCTGTGCGACAAACATAGGCCCAATGGCCTTTGATTCCACACCGGGTGTATTCCTCGTCATTGTTTCTGTTTCTCCCGGTGTTGAACCTCTGTTAAGGTCTGTACGGCCTTCTGTCATTATAATGCCAATTTGGCACATATCGGGGCCTGTTTTGATAATTATTGTGATTGTATGCATTTGCGCGGCCCCGTCCGCGATTCTGATTTTGATCGCGATCAATTCACTGATTTCTGACTTGCCCACGACCATGCACCGGATTTGCCGGTTGTATTGCATTTTCCTCTGGAAATGGATTTGCACATATCGGCCGAGATTCGTGATTTTTCAACAGCAATTCATTATTTTGTTCGGCCAGCAAAAGACATGTGATCAGCTCAGAATATTTCTGGAAGCCTCTTTCGTGATACTGCTGCTGCAAAACCATGTTAGAGGCATGAAAAGTGGAGAAAGTTTTCTCCATCATATCAGATTCAGATTTCTTTTCGCCACAGTGGCGCAGCTGTGATGTTATTTTAAACATGGCAGAATTATATTCTTGGACTATTTTAAAGTCCTGAAGCCGTAGGCTTTGCCATTCGCTTCATGCCCTTGGCAACAATGTCAGCCTCAAATGATCATATCTTTCTTTCAATCTCTCCCACAATTCAAGCGGGGATTCCAGCGTGACATACTGCATTTTCAATGCCTCATCGATGTGATGGCACAAAAAGATCATGGCCTTTGCACGATCTTGGCTCGGAGAGTTTTTATCCCGGGCAATGGTATTTTTCCAAGCCCATTGATGCTAGATGTATTTTAACATCGCGAGTCCATACCATATAAGTTTGGTCAGAAATGATGAGAGGGAGAAATTCCCGTTGGCAAGGTTAGACATAATAAACAGATAAAATATAAAATATTACCTTGCGAAAATTAAAATACATAATCATGCTAATAACATTTTGTAATATTAATATAGGATTAGCCAATAGAAATATTAATTATTTTTACCGCTAACCACTATTTTATATATTGTATATAATATATATATATGTGTGTGTAATGGGTATATATATAGATGTATGTGTGCAATCGTGTGTGGGAATATATAAATATATGTATGTGTAAAGTATTATATATATATATGTATATTTGTATAGTTTATGTAACGGTGATGTTGATATATAAAAATAAATGAGAGAGAAATAGATAGATATGGAGAGAGATAAATGAGTGGGGATATGTATATATATTCTTTTTCCATCCAATACATATTACCTAGATATATATAGGCAAGTAAACATTGAATTTTGAGGACATAAGCCAGCCGCACAATTATCGAATAAGATTACATTATGCGTTCTACTTTAACTGCATCCACATTATTGCATACAAAGCATGTACGTGTATAACAGTACACAGGTATTTATTTTTTTGTGGTGTTACAACTTCACTATATATATCATATTTCTAATCTAAAAATAATTACATCTGTTCGGGCACAAATTTTCAAGCTTAGTAATCCGACAATGATACACACACTACAAAAAAAATGACTTTTTGTAGCAGGTAAATTGGTCGTAACAATAAATCCGTCACAAAAAGATATTTTTGTTACGAAATTTGTCGGTTCAAAAAATTTTAATGCTGGTCAACAAATTTTTTTTTATTTGTTTCGATTAGTTATCTGTAACAACTACATATCGGACGGAATTTCGTGCTAAATATATTTGTTACGTAATTCAACCCGTAACAAAAAGAGTAATATTATAATTATTAAAAGAAGAACATTTTATATTAAATTTTTATAAAATTCAAAATATAAAAATTATTTGTTTCAGTAAACTATCCATAATATTTACACAAAATATGGTTGTATATTTATTTGTTATACAATTCAAGTCGCAACAAAAATCAATATTATATTTATAATATTGCAATTAAAAAAATATATATATATATTTAGAAAAAATCAAAAATAAAATAAAAATTGAAAAGTGTGTTAACGCTTCTACCATAAATATCCACATACATACAACAAATGAGTTAGATAAATTTACATTTCGACCTCATATTATCCCAAAATTAATCTCCTATCGCCCTATATCGATCTCCGATCCACAGAAGATGCTCTCCGCTTCGAGTTAGGCCAAGAACGACCGTGGCTACCTTCCCTCGCCGACGCGGTTGGACGGTCGTCATTCTTCGAGTGATTGCTGGTGTAAATCTTCCAAGCCGCGACACTGTGCTCAAAAGATCGACAAGAGATAAAAACCTAGGTATTCTATTGTGTACTAAACGTCCACTTCCTTTTCTTTAGTAATTTTAAATATTAGGAGTGAAAATGTCTAAGAACATTCTGGGCATTGCCTTTATAGTAGCTCAGGTTGCTTTTCCGGTATTTTCGTGCTTGTGAAATTGAAGGGATTTTCATGGAAGAATGGTGGGTTTCTTTTTACTTTATAAATTCTTAACTTTTATGACATCTTGTGTCTTTTTTTAACTTTTCATTACGTTTTGGGAGGATGACCAGTGCCATGGTGGTAGAGTAAATCAAGGGATTGCTATGTTGTGTTATTTTTGTGACATAATCTTGTTGTTTTGTTAAGCTATGCTTGTTGATTTTCTTATGTGTTTTGTCAATTGAGGTTGAGAGGGGGATAAAGAAGATGGAGACAATGATAGCACTCCTTATTTTGAAAGATACGTGAGGGCGTGAAATTGGGATATTTGGTTTGTTACTGTTGTTTAATCAATCTATCGATGATGTTGTGTTTTGAATATGTGGTTCTGTGCTCTCAATATACTATAGAATATAATGCGAATGAAAGGGATCTTGATATAGAATGGGTTTATTTGCAGTGTTTTCAAACTTCATTTAGCACTAAAGTTAAGTATATTACCTGCAATATCTATTTTTATGAGGATCAAGAAATAAAATCTATTTGCTCATTACTCGATTCTGTTATATCTTTTGTTTGGAAGTAACCATATTAGTTGCAGTATCCAGTTTTGTGCAAAGACTAAGTTTTTTTTATTTGTTTTTTTTGTTTCAAGTATTTTGAGAACAATAACAAATTTGAACGTAAAATGGGTATTGGAGACTAGGTTTTTTATATAATGTTTTAAAAGAAAAATAATTGTTGATATGATGTTTTTTTTTTTTTGCAGAAATATAATTGAGAACACAAAAGAGCTTAGCCTAGCACTTTTAACTTGAATGGTGTAATGAAATTCTTATTATTTTGTTTATTTTATATTATCGTAACATAAACTAAAATATTTGGTGAAGGTGGCCCAAATAAGTTATTCGAGAAGTGTGAATACTGCTATTCCTAACAATGTTTTGTATCATATGCATTATTGACCTTTTCTTGGATAATGCTATAACTTATTCATCGATTCTTGAGGATGGGGTTTTACCTACAGAAATTAACACTATCCTTTAGACATAATTATCTTTCTCTTACCCTGGTTGATTGAATTTTCTAAATTGGAAAATAGATCAAGTTTTCTCATGAGGTTGCCACAACTGATGGAGAAGATGATAATCAGCTTTTGTGTGTAATATTTTGTATGAAGACATGAGTTCTCATTTGTTCTCCTTAAATTCTGAGAAAGCCAGAATTTCACTCATAACCCAGTTTATAGATTTCTATCAAGGGAAATTAGTACAATGGTAGGTATTATGAACTTATGAATTCTGTACAGGTTGTTCTTATCTCAGCATGATAGATGACTATTGGGCCATATTTTGTGAGTTACATGCCATATTTGCAGGAATAGCACAAACAGTTCCAGTTGGATTGATAAAATCCTTAGTTTGAAGACCCTTAATTGTGCATGATCTTTTAACAGCAAAAATCACAGAACAAACAAGTACTACTTTGGGGCTTCTTTTGAACAATTCAGACAATTCTACTATGAGGATTAGTATGATGAAATTTCTCTTGAATGCTATCTTGCTTTGCTTATAGGCATTTCCCCAAAACTACATCTTGGAGGAAGTTTTTCCTGTATCTGAGAAGATATCAAATACTGTAGAATGAATTCAACAAACTCTTTTGTGACTCCTTGCCGAGCAAAGCAAGATAGCATTCAAGTTGATGTTAAAGAACGGCAGGTATATGTTTCTTTTTTTCATAGATCGACTTAGATTTGTGTCTGATTGCTTCTAGAGTTTTGGAAATAATTTATTTTATTTTATTTTCTCATTTAATCTTCAATTTCTTTCTACCTATTTGTGTTAAAGACTGATTGCAGCCCCTATCCGAGCCACAAAGATATTTTCGCAATGTAGAAAATGGAATTCTATCGCATCAAGTCTTAGTTGTTGAATTTCTTAGATATTGAATATTTATAATTGTTGTTTGGTTTGACTGCAGCCCCTCCCAAACCTAATCGGGGTTGTTCGAGGACGAACAATGATGCAATTGTGAGGAGGGAAGTTTAATTGTTACAACAAATATTTTTGTAAATTTGAGTGCAACAAGATAAATCATGGGAGTTTTCACTTGTTTCCCCTTCGTACTAAACCCTGTTGATTGTTAGTTAAATAGCCTATTTAATTCGATATCTCCTCCTTAGCTATACCAAGTTATTAAATGATACCATTACTTTCCTATTCTAGCTAATGCTAGTATTCATAGTAGATTTGGTGATTCGGTGACAGTGTGTTAACCTACGTCCACGGGCAGGAACCAGAGAGATTTTATTATACCGATTCAGAGAGTTACAATCATATCATCCGACTATGAACCATAACTATCTATTTATAAGCACCCCAAAACACCCTAAACCCTAGGCTTATTTGTTATTAATTAGGATAAGCTCAAAAGGAACCCTGCCAATTGATACAACCTTTTTGCTTTGGTTTCGGGTTGGGTAGACCGCTAAATCCAAGTCATGATTCAACAATCTCCACCTTGACTTGGAGTTTCTCCAACCACCAAAGGTTCTTCAGTATCTCTTAGTTGTCTCCTTCTTGCCAGATGCCCCAAGAGGACTTTACCCACTGCAAATATTCACCAAGTTTAAGTAGTGCTCGAACTTCTCTGTCGGTAGCGCATTTGTCAACATATCAGCTAGATTGTGTTCTATAGCTATTTTTCAGAATAGAAAACCTGTCTTCCTCCAGAACATCACGGATAAAATTCAATCTTACATTAATATGCTTGGTTCTTTATGATACATTGAATTTTTAGCTAAACTCAAAGCACTCTGACTATCATAGAATAACACCGGTTTCTTCATCTTCAAACCCAAACTCTGCACCAGACCATGTAACAAGATATCATCCTTAATAACTTCAGCCATTGGCATGTATTCCGCCACAGTCGTCGACGATAGTGCAACCGTAGGTTGTAAAGTAGACTTCCAATTGACTACACATCCAAACAGAGTGAAGATAAAGCAAGTCAGTGATCTTCGTTTCACCAAGTCACCCCGTAATCAGAGTCTGCATAGCCAACCAGACAATCACCATGGTCTTTATCATCATACACCAGAGAAATATCATATGCTCCTTTCAAATATCGCAAGATCCACTTTACAGCTCCCAATGAGTTTTACCCGGATTAGACATAAACCTGCTCACCACGCTAACCGCATAAGCGAGATCCGGTCTCGTACATACCATCGCATACATAAAACTTCCAACTGCACTTGAATATGGAACCGTCTTCATGTAGCTAACCTCTTCATCTGTAGTCGGTATAGTGCTTCGATCAAGTTTAAAATGTGCCGCCAAATGAGTACTTACCGGTTTGGACTGATCAACAGAGTGCCTGCAAAACTTTTTCAATATACTTTTCTTGAGAAACCCATAGCCGTCTTGCTTCTCTATCATGCCAGATCTCCATACCCAATATTTTCTTTGTCGCACCCAAATCCTTCATCTCAAACTCACTCTTTAGTAGAGCCTTCAAGTCATTAATTACAACCATGTTTTTAGCTACAATTAACATATCATCCACATACAACAGCATATACACAAAGGAATCACTAGAAACTTTCTTCGAGTAAACACAGTTATCAAACTGATTACGAGTATAACCATTAGACACCATGAAAAAATCAAATCTCTTACACCACTTCCTCGTACACTGCTTCAAGCCATACAAAGATTTATTTAAAAAGCATACCTGGTCCCCTTTAGAACTGTCGAACCCCTCTGGTTGAAACATGTAAATTCGTTCTTCTAGATTACTTTGAATGAATGTTGTTTGTACATCAAACTGCTCCAACTCGAGATCAAAAGCACCCACCATTGCCAAAAGAACCTGATGGTTTTGTGTTTCACCACAAGAGAAAAGACGTCATGGTAATCGATTCCTTCTTTCTGTGAGAACTCTTTTGCCACCAGTCTCACTTTGAACCTAGCAGGTTCAACACTAGGAATTCCCTACTTTCTTTTAAAGACCCACTCGCATCCCATTGGCTTCACCCATTTTGGTAGTGCAACAAGATCCCAAGTCTTGTTCTTTTTAAGAGACTGCATCTCTTCATTTATTGTTATAATCCAAGTTTCTGCATCTTTACTCGCCACATCTTCGTTATATGTCTTTGGCTCATCATAGCCAAGATCATCACCAACCGCCAATGCATAAGCCACATAATTCTTGTCACATGTATTGACACATCCTGCAAACCTAGATGGTTCCTGAATATTTCTCTTTCCCTTTCTTGCTGCTATGGATTCTTCAACCCCAATACCAGCCTCATTAGCTTCCTCCTCAACCGGTTTTCCTTGAGGTTTTGACTAATATGGTTGATCGGATTGATCAATAGTATTATCATGCTGCTCTTCCTCTAACACAACTCTGTCAAGAGTCTCAAACGTCACCCTCTGGTCAGCACCACAATCTTTTGTACCGGCAATACTTTCACAACCTCTACTCTGATCAAGCATAACAGATTCATCAAATGTTACATCTCTGTTAATAAAAAATTTATCAAGATTGTTACCTTTTGTACACCACAGTCGATAACCTTTGACTCATGTTATATATCCTAGAAATATGCATTTTACCGCCCTCGGCTCCAGCTTACCATCATTCGCATGAGCGTATGCAGGGCATTCATATATTCTTAGATTAAAGTAATAAGAGGGTTTACCGGACCATACCTCTTGAGGAGTCTTTATGTCAATTGCAATTGGTGGAGATCTATTAACCAGATAGCTAGCAGTGTTAACTGTTTCAGCCTATAATTGCTTAGATAAGCCAGCAAATATGCGCATACACCTAGCACGCGCCATGAGAATTTGGTTCATTCGCTCTGCAACACCATTTTGCTGTGGTGTGTGCCGTAAAGTGCGGTGCCTCACTATACCTTCTTTCTTGCAGAAATCATCAAATGGAGCGTTGCAGAATTCCAACCAATTATCAGTTCTTAGAGACTTGACCTGTTTACCCGTCCGTTTTTCAACCATAGTCTTCCACTCCTTGAACTTCCCAAACACCTCATCTTTAGTCTTCATAAATTATAACCAGACTTTTCTTGAATAATCATCTATGAAAGTGACAAAGTAAGAACAACCGCCCTGGGATATCACCGGAAATGGACCCCATAAATATGAATGAACATACTCTAGAATTTCTTTTGAAGTGTGACGACTGGTACTAAACCTTACCCTGCGTTGCTTCCCTTTTACACAAGCCTCATATAATTGAATTTTACCTGTCATATCCCTACCAAATAAACCCTACATGCTCAACACAGATAACCCTTGCTCACCCATGTGATCCAATCGACGGGGCCACAAATTTGTCCTGTCATCATGTTTATCCAAGGACTGGGATACCGCCGTCGTTCCCATCACTGAAATCCTTTACCTGAGTACTTTCGGACATCCGGATGGTGTAAAGACGTTGCTTCTGATATAGCCTGTTCGTTTGAGAGTTATTCTGATACTTCTTACACAGTTTATTCCATAGCCCAAAAGCCGTCGCCTGATCTACAACCTCTCATAACACCTCATCAGTAACTGACAACAAGATCGCGGAATGAGCTATTGCCAAAATCTCCTTATTTATCTCATCCTTCGTGTCTTTAGGAAACTTGTCTTCTCCCTTCAACGCAGTCGCACGTCCTTGTTGAACCAGAAGTGCCTTCATCTTGACCTTCCAGAGAGTGAGGTCATTCGACCCATTAAACTTCTCCAGATCAAACTTATACGAGGACATCTTCAATCAATCAGATATGGCTCTGATATCACTTGTTATGTGAAAAACGAGAAAGAAAGAAAATAAAAAACACAGAGGTTTTATGTGTTCGGTGACGGTGTGTCAACCTACGTCAACGGACAAGAACCGGAGAGATTTTATTATACTGATTCAGAGAGTTACAATCATGTCATCCGACTAAGAACCATAACTATCTATTTATAAGCACCCCAAGCATCCCAAAAACACCCAAAACCCTAGGCATATTTTTTATTAATTAGAATAAGCTCAAAAGAAACTCTGTCAATTGATACAAACCTTTTCACCTTGGTTTCGGATCGGGTAGACCGCTAAATCTAAATCACGTGTCAATATATATATATATATATAAACATATTTATATTTCTCCTATATCCCTCCCTTCGTTAATAACCAGCAATAAATAAATCATTTTATATTTTTTCACATATTTTTCTCTCTTTATTCCGATAGGTAAGAACTCAAGTGAAAAGATAGATGAATTTTTCCATAAAACTATTGTCTTTGTTCTCAGTGAAAACTGGGGGTATGACTTATGACTTATGAGGAAGCATTTCATGTGCAGTTGATCTTATATAGTTAAAATGCAATATTAAAGTAACAGAGAGAGAGAGAGCAGTGCAGGAACATAAAGCAGGCAACCTTTAATTAATTTATTGATGGACAGCAATAACATTAGCAAACATGGCATTATTACAACAAATCACATGCAGAAATCCAAGCGGCTGGCTGGAAGCCGAACGGAAGGAAAACAACATGACATACAGAAATTAAAATATATAGATATAGATATATATGATAGATTTATTTCATCTCATATATATATAAATATGTATACTCTCCCATGTATATATATATGCTGCAGACTATATATATATATATATATAGGAATCTTGAAGTTAGAGGTGCAAGAAGGGATCAGTCGGTGCAGCAGCGGTACATAACATACTTGTCCATGGTCTTCCCGCACTCGGAGCAGACGACCCTCTCGGGGATGTAGCCGGCGTGCCCAGGCAGAATGAGGCGGTTGCAGTGATGCTCGGGGTGGAGCCCCCGCAGCTGCTCATCCAACACCGTCACAAACTTGTCGGGATGGTCGACCTGGTAAGCCCAGTCCTGGTAATTGTCCAGCACCGGCAGCAGCTTCTCCCCGTTCCCCTTGGTGATCTCGTAGTTGCCCCTGCTGAACACCGCCCAGCCCTGGTCGCTGCTGTCGAAGGTCAGGACATCCATGATCTCCTGCATTATCCTGTCGCTGTCCACCGTCATCCCGATGTGCCTCTTGGAGTTCCACATGCTCCACAGCCTCACCCAGAAGTACCACACGTAGTCGTAGTAGTCCGCCACCGAGAACACGTGGCTCAGCTTCTCCCTGTCGATGATCTCGTGGCACCGCCGCACTTTGTCCCGCGGGTTCCGCTTCCCGACGTACAGCATCTCCATGTCCACCTTCAGGTCCCTCGCCACCGACCGGGCTGTCAGAGTGAACTTGCGGATCCAATCGATGTCCTCCCCTCCGTACAGGCAGATCACCTTCTGCTCCCTGATCCAATCAGGAATGCGTGGATCAATGGCGTCGGCCAGCAGGTCGATGTTCCAGGTGCTCTCCGACCAGAGGGCAGACTCTCTAGCCTTGGTGAAGGGGAAGGCTGTGCTCCCCCAGATCCACATCATGGGTAAGGCGTCCAAATTCGATGGTTTTCCTTGGGGGTCGAGGACCACCAGCATCGGGGTGTGGACGAACTTCCAGACATCCCGGATGTACCTGATGGCCACCGGCTCCACCAGTGAGTGGTGGTCGACTGAGTACCAAGGCATGTGGTTGTTTCGAAGGTCGTAGAACACGCTGTCCTGCAACTGCCCCTGAGACGACGATATTGGATCCACGATGGGAAACCAAAGAACCTCGTACTCGTGCCTCATTGCTTGTTGGTTGTAGATCATGTGCAGCACATTTAGCTCCTCGTGAGGAAGATCCAGATCCGAAATCAGCAGCAGCACATACTTCAGCCTCAGCGCCTCAAGCCGTTCCTATTTATATATATATATATAATTAGTTTAGTTTAATTTAGTTGGAATAAGGGTTAAGGTAATCGAAAGAAGTTAGTTAGTTAGTTACATTTATCTTTCTGGTGCCATCGTAGAGCGGCCTTTGATCCTCTTTGGATCGAAACATGGCCCTTAGTACTTTCATGTTGTCAATATGAGCAGATTCGATAATTCTGACGAATGTCACGTAGGCATCCTCTTCCTTCTTCTTCTCTGTACAACGATTAATATACAGATCAAGTTAGCTTAGTTATCGAGAGTGAATCATCACATCAACATCAGACTGATCGATGTAATAACTTACCAACTAAGCCCTTGCAGAGTCTCAGTTGGGTTTGCAGATGCTCCATTATCACTTGCAGCTTATGAGTCAGGCTCAGAATCTCCCATGACTCAGCAGTAGACGAAAGATACCTGCAAATACAATCAAGAATGTACTGATGAAACATATCATATACTATAGTAGTTGACAAGATCGAAGAGTAAATGCAGGACAGAAGACATGACATACTCAGCGCCGGTGCCGATCAAGCTGAGGAGTGTGGACGAGCAGACGAGAAGGCTCCTTATGATCCAGTAAACAGCAGTGGGGATATGAGCTGTTGCAGCCGTGATTTCCGGCGATTCGCGGCTGATGTAGAGAGGGGGGAGCTCCTTGAACTCTATGATGCAGTGTGACACCTTCAGTGCTGCATTCAAGAGGCCAAGCACGGCCTCGAACTTCTTCTGTAATTCTCCAGCATTGGTCATCAGGTCCGGAAGATCCTTAAGAGCAGCAATGTTCTTGGCGAGCGGATCCTTGGTGTGTAAGTGCTCCACCAGCCAAAACTCGCCGTAATTGATGGCGAAAGCAGCAAAGGTAATGACAACCTTGGCATCCCAGGCGTAGCTCGACAGCGATTTAAGTAGCTCCATTGTTACTGAATGCGATTCTCCTCCACCAGAACATTTGCAGATAATCTGTTTCACACACATTTATAGATCTCAAAAACTAATTTTAATGGCAGCTGACTTCAGGCAAAGTTATTTATAATTCACTTCGTTTGAAAATTCAATTTTACTCGTGTTTTAAAAAATATTGCATAGAAACCTCTAAAAAGAAATATTTTGTGCAATATTTTTAAAATTACGAGCAATTTTTCCCTATCATTATTATACCTCACAGGAAATCTTGTTGATTGGATATGCCAGCAGTTTAACAATATCTGATTCATGCTCGGGATCGCGGTATAGCCTTTCATCGGAGTGAGTAGAGTGGAGCTTTTCATCATGGTGGTACAAGGAAGGTTGGTGGAGAGCCCTGTCCTCCAATGGATCTTTATGCAACTGAGTCTGTGTACCCTGAAGCATATTCATAATCCAAATATAAAAGAAGACTATATTAAGACAGATAAATCGATGGATAGATATGGAAGAGATCGAAATCCTACTACAAGGGTTGTTTCAGCAACATGCAATGGCTTGGCCAGGTGCAGGATATCCTCGACAATGGCGAGCACTGGCCTGGCATCAAGATCCTCAAAGTCTGGGGCATGTGTGGCCACAATCTGCTTGCTCAGGGCATTGTCGTCCGATGAAAAGAAGTGGCGATCCCTGTCGCGCCTCAATGTTTGTCCCCTTGTGGGAACTCCACCTACACTGGCTGCTGGTGCTGCTGCTGCAGGGACAAGCTTGGGAGTCGAAGGATTGTGATCAGGTTCATCGACGTGCTTTGCAATGGGATCCGGCGCATACTGCATTAGTCCACCCGCAGCAGGTTTAGGTGCAGCAGCAGAAGCAGAAGCCGCGGGTTTTTCAGTGATCCGAGGGAGGCCAGCCCTGCTTGCCGGCACAAATTCGCGCCTTTCCATTGAAAGATAAATAAATGCAGGATAGGATATGGAGATGAATGTGTGTGGTGTGAGTGTAATTTGGTGATGGATCTTGATGTCTTTATATAGAAAGAATGAAAGAAAGAAAGACAACAAATGGAGCTTGCAAAGAAAGATGCATACATTGCAATGATGAAATGGAATAAAGGTGTGTGTGGTGAATCTTCTTTGCTTGGGGTGTGGTGTAAACTCTGTTGGGGGTTTGGAACTCAGTTCCCTCTTAATTCCCACTCCCACCACTCAAGATTTTCAAGATTTTGATACTATTAAAATTTTAAACAAATATTACGGATCCTTCAGCTCTAAAGGTTGAATATTAATTATTATATCAAAACGTACTATAAATTAAGAAAAATTTACAAAAATATTTTGATTAGTATCTTATAATACTAATAAAATGATACTTATACAAAAAAATTATACAAATATAAGAATATTTTTAATGTTTATACAATGACGCAAAAGGTAAATATGATCCTTAGAAGACGGACGAAGAGAGTATAATATTAAATGTACTTTTTTCTTATAAAATATTATACTCTCTGTGTCCAAACTATCCGTGTTTTTATTTTGGTTCCCTTTTTTTTAGTAACTGTACTATCTACTTAACATTACAAATACTTTTACAATTTACAATACATTATACAAATGTCGTTATCTTTATATCACGCAATATTAATAAAGTCATTTTAGTCATTTCTATTTTATTTCTACTGTATCTCAATATAATACTAATATTTATAAAACTTCGTGCAAAAAATAAACGGAATGTTTTTGTCGAAATAGATCCTTAATTTTCCAGCTTATTTCATTACTTCATTGCTGCCAAACCTTTTTGCTATACCTTAAATCAATATGTATATATATATATATATATTTAGGAATCTATAGTTAATCAATATATTAATTAGTCTTAATCGGTACATAAAAATATATCAGAGAGCACTTATTGAGATAAGTTGTAGTATTCACTATATAAACTCATGTATTATATCTGTATTATATTAACATGTAATTTTGTGTTATCTATATATATATTCTGCGCAAAATCACGAGAGTAATAGCAATCATATTATATATATATATATATATTATTTTCATAATCACCATCACAATAATAATCCAATATTGTATCCACGTGATTCATGCCCCTATCTACTTTCTTTACTTGTTGATGCATCATTCTCTACGAAATCGTATTCCAGGCTCAAGTGTTCTTTTATCTTGCTTGGTTCTGTTCTAAGATCCTCCCCAGCCCAGGTACATTCTGAAGCAAGCTGTGATTCTTTAGTTTTCTAGGTCTAAATTACAGACAAGTAAACATGTATAGTCAAGACAAAAAGATGTAATATATGTATATAGACAAAATTACTTATAATCCACTCTAGTTAGGAAAGTTGCATCATACTCCCGCAACTTAAAAATTGCACAAGATTTATTTGTGTTTTAAAAAATATTACGCATAATCTCCTAAAAATTATATGAAACTTTCTTATACTTTTAAAAATATTACATAGAATTTTCTAATTTTTTTTTTATATAATTTTTTAATAAAGAGAGGAGAATAAGACGGACTTTCCCAAGCTTAAATGGGTCATAAATAATTTTGCATAGATATAAGGACTTTAGGCAGGCATTGTGTGTCGCATGTTGCATCTGTTTGCATTCTCATGGGATCCTTTGTTTCAAAAATAAATTTTATTTTCCTATCTCCACACATAACGTGTGTATATCACTACAAGAAATTATCAATTTTCTAACGAAATTTTTTCGTTACTAAATTCACTTTTTCTGTTACTAATGATATTAGAGACGGAATTAGAGATGGAATTACGTTAGCTACGTGAACTTTAGGAACGGAATTCCGTTACAAATATACTAATTTTCTTGTAGTGTATAATATATATATATATACACGTATGTATATATACATATTATGTGTGTAGGGATCCGATCTAGTTTGCATTGGGCTACTCTTGAATGCTTCTTTACTTGAAACTATGGGTTTATTTTATTGGTCCCAAAGTGATGTCATGAGATGAGATGATCATCATCTGTTGTTGAAGTGCAGTCCAAGGCAAAGCATATTATTATTCCCTTTGTGTCTCCTCTAGATCTGTTTTAGTGTGTATGTTATTAATTAGTATTTATGCATGCATGATACAGTAAAAGGGTTTTAGCTTTTTATGAGACACAAGAAACTATTAATTATTTTTGGGTGTTAGGAAAATTAAAGAGATTCTTCTGCACTTTGGATAAGGATTATTACAGTACATTACATTACATTACAGTCCCGACTACTCTTGGAAAGCAGCTTCAAGTTATTAGAGATGCGAACAAGAAATTTGTGACAGGCATGCTGATTTAATCTCGGTCACTTTTATGTATATTTAAGGGTTTAAACTCCATAACCATAATTTAATAATATTATAGTTGGAATTAATTATTTAACAATTAAAAGAAATATAAAATATGTGTTTAAATATATTTAATACTCCCTCCGTCCCGAAACTAAATATTCATTTGTTTATTGCACGTAGTTTTAGAAATATTAGTACTATATTGAGATATAGTAGAAATAAAGTAGAAATGACTAAAATAATCTTATTAGTATGTGTGATATAAAGATAATGACATTTGTGTAATATATTGTAAGTTGTAAGGGTATTTGTAATGTTAAGTAAATAATACAGTTACTAAAAAAATGGAAATGGATACTTTGTTATGGGACTGAATAAAATGGAAAAATTGATACTTTGTTATGGGAAGGAGGGAGTATTATATTTGAATAAAATATATACGATATGGATATTATTTTTATAAAGAATAAAGTTTTATATAATACAAATAATAAATTGATACTTTGTTATGGGAAGGGAGTATTATATTTGAATAAAATATATACTATATGGATATTATTTTTATAAAGAATAAAGTTTTATATAATACAAATAATAAATTGATACTTTGTTACGGGAACGGAGTATTATATTTGAATAAAATATATACTATATGGATATTATTTTTATAAAGAATAAAGTTTTATATAATACAAATAATAAAAAAAAATATTTATTTATTTATCATTATCATTAATTAGTTTTAAAAAAATGAAGAATTTTAAAGATAAATAATAATAAAAAAAATTGTTATTCGAGGAGCGATAGAAATAAAAGGTTTTGAATGGGTATTAAAAATTAGAAATTTAATTTAATTAATTTATATTTGTTAATTATGTTTAAAATTGATAAATTTATTAAAAATAGAAAAACATCGTCTTTTGTAGAACGGACAAAAATTGGTAATGTACGACGGGATGGAGGGAGTATGCATTTACTGCTATATAGTTTTAAATAACATTCATTGTATGATGTTTGTATTTATATATGCTACTAATTAAATATAAATTTTGTGTTATTTGTACATATGTATAATATATTTTAAGTTATTTCTATTATATAAAACTAGATAGACGTTAACTATGTGATGTTTGTATTTATATATCTTATAAATTTTGTGCTATTTGTATATAAATATAAAAAATTGTCCGAAAATATTTTTTAAGTTATTTTCACTATATAGTCCTAAATGAATGTTAATTATGTGATGCTTGTATTTATATATTCCACTAATTGAAAATAAAATTTTGTATGCAAGTATAAAAGTATTCAAACATTTTTTAAGTTATTTCCACTGTATAGTTTTAAATGAATATTAATTATATGATGTTTGTCTTTATATGTTTCGCCAATTAAATAGATATAAATGATGTGTTTTGTATCATAAGTATAAATTTTTTTTAATATATTCTAAATTATTTCCACTCTATAATGATATTTGTATCATATGAATAAAATTGCTTAAATGTTGTCCCGTAAGGGATGGCCTGTAGAGTGAACTTGTGATTGTGATGTCATAAGTTCAAACTGCGATGCCTCCAGGTCCACCAGCCAGTTGAACCTAGTGTGGTCTGTCTTGTCGGACCTAGTTTGCAGGATATTAGAGAAGCGATTATGCGGGTGTAGTGGAGAAGAAAGGCAAAATAGCAAAAACTCTTCTGTGGTTTTCCGAATTCGCTGAAAATCCCTCGTGGTTTTAAAATTCCAAAAAACCTATTCGTGGTTTCCAAAAATGTTGCACACTTCCCATATTTTATCTTCTTTCTTCTTCTCCAATTCTTCTTCAGGCTAATACTCTTTTTTTTCCAATATTTTTCTTTTTTCTTCTTCTTGCTCAATTCTTCTTCAGGTTAACAAGGCTCTTTCTTTTCTTATTTTTTTCCAATCTATTTTCTTCTTTTTTCTCCTTCTTCTCCAATTCTTGTTCAGGCGCATAGGTTCTTTTTATTCTCTTTTTCTCTATTATTTTTTTTCCTTCTTGTTATTCCCCAATGCTTCTTCAGGCCCACCACGTTTTTTCTATTCTTTTTTTTTTCATTTTTTTTTCTTCGCCCTTCTTCTTCTCCAATTCTTCATCAGGCGCACCAGGTTCAAACACTGCGATTTGGATCCAGAAATTTATCATTTCTGAGCTTGAATGGACAAATAAGAGAAAGGGAATGAGAGAAGATAAAAGGAAGAAGAAAATAGTGCTCAAATGATCATTTTAGTAACTTGCAGAGATACTTATCACTTTTTTTTGACAAAAAATCGCATTTGAGGCGCGTCACATACACTCTCCGTTAAGTCTTAACGAAAGTAAGGATTTTATGCAACGTTTTACGAACTACAAGTAGGTTTTTTGAAGTTTTAGAACCAGGATGATTTTTTTTAGCAAATTCAGCAAATCACAAGAAGTTTTATGCTATTTTTACGGAGAAAAAATGAAAAGTAGGAAAAGAATGAAGAATAATAGTAAGAAGACAGAGAAAAAAATTAAATGATAATTTTGTCCTTAGTATTATAACTACTATTAAATTAAAAATTAATCTAATGAACTAGATTTAATCAATACGGTGATGATTGTCTATAATTAACAATGTAATCTTTCACATACTTGACAAGTTTGTGATAGGATGTAAAGCTCGATTAA